TTTTTTTTTTTTTTTTTTTTTTTGGTACCGGGGAATTGAGCTCCGGTCCTTGAGCTTGCAAGGCAGGCCACCGAACTGCTGAGCTAAATCCCCGGCCCCAAAGACTACTATTTTAAACATGGTTTAATGAATAGTTTAAGCCCACCATTGAGACCTACTGCTGAAGGAGGAAAAAGGACTCAATTCCAAATATTACTGCTCACTGACCATGCACCTGGTCACCCCAGAGCTCTGATGGAGATGTACGGTGAGATTGTTGTTTTCATGCCTGCCAACAGCATCCATTCTGCAGTTCATGGCCCCAAGAGTACACTTTTGCATCTCAGTATATATAAAATACATTTCATAAGGCTATTGTTACCATATGTAGGGATTGCTCTGATGAATCTGGGCAAAGTAAATTGACAACCTGGAAGGGATTCACGATGCTAGATGCCATTAAAAAGAATATTCAAGATTCATGGGAGGAGGTCAAAGTGTCAGCATTAACGGGAGTTTGGACAGAGTTGTTCCAACCCTTATGAAGGACTTTGAGAGGTTCAAGACTTTGGTGAAGGATATATTTGCACACATGGTAGAAATAGCAAGAGAATTAGATGTAGCTGTTATAAATTGTGTGGGTATGCCTGTATAAATCTACTCTGCCTCTGCTTTGTAAATGGAATGGCAAGGCCTAGATGACACATGTATGTTTAATGGATATTTTGAAAAGCAAAATACTGTACTATACTACTTTAACTCTTTCAGGAAGATACCTAGAAGATGAATAGATGGATCAAATGAAATTTCTAGGGTTTTATTTGTTTGTTTGTCTGTTTGTTTAAGGAATCCCCGGGGCCAGGGATTTAGCTCAGTGGTTTCGCTGCCTGCCTTGTAAGCAGAAGGTCCCAAGTTTGATCCCTAGTACCAAAAAAAGAAAGAAAGGAATCTCCCTATAGATATTTATGAGTGTGCTAGTTTACATTCCCAAAAACAATGTAGAAGATTTCCTTATTCCCTGCAGCCTTGCAAGCATTTGCTATTATATGATTGCTTGATGACAGCCATTCTTCCTGGAATAATATGGGATCTCAGTGTTGTTTTAATTTGAATTTCTGTAATGACCAGAAATGTTGAATATTTTGCCATGTATTTTTTTGGCCATTTGTACTCCATTTTTAAAAGATTGACACATATTTTGGTATATAATGATTGCATTCATCATGGGGAGTTGGTGCATGACATATCTTAATTCTTTTTTTATATCCTTCCCTTCCCCTCCCTTCCCTCCCTCACTCTTCCTCCATCTCTTGGATCCCTTCTGTACTTCTGTGAAGTGTCTAGCCTTTCATTTGCCCATTATTTGATAAGGTCTTTTATTTTAAGAGGTCTAATTTTTTGAGTTCTCTATGTGTTCTAGGTATTTAGTCCTTTGTCTGAGGATTGGCTGGCAAAAGTTTTTTCCCATTCTGTAGGTTGTCTCTACTCTGTCATTTCTTCACTGTGCAGGAGTCTTTTAATTTGACATGTTCCCATTCGTTGATTCTATGTTATTTTTTGCACAAGTGGGGTTCTGTTCAGAAAGTCCTTGCCTAAGCCTATGTCTTCAAGAGTTTTACTTGTTATCTTCCAGTGGATTAAGAATTTCTGTTTTCACATTTTGATCTTTGGTCCATTTTTATTTTAGTTTAGCACATGGTGAGAGATAGGGGTCTATATTTGGTCTTCTCCATGTGGATAGCCAATTTTCGAAGCATCACTGTTAAAGAGGCAATCTTTCCTCCAGTATACGTTTTTGACCCCTTTGTCAAAGAGCAGATAGCTAGGCTTGCCTGGGGTTGTTTCTGCATTTTCTATTCTGTTCCACTGATCCATATGTCTGTTTTTGTCCCAATACCATTGCTGCTTTTATCACTGTGGCTTTGTAATTTTACTTGAAATCCAGGATTGTTATTCCTCCTCCTTTGCTCTTGTTACCCAGGGTTGCTTTGCTATTCTGGTTCTCTTATGATTCCATGTGAATTTTATGACTGTTTTCTCTAATTCCGTGAGAACTATTGTTGGTTTTTATTGGAATGGTGTTAAATCTGTTTATTAGTTTTGGTAGTATGGCCATTTTGACTATTTGGGTTGTGCCTAACTAGGAACAGGGGCCATCTTTCCATTTTCCAATGTCCTCTTCAATCTCCTTTTTCAGAGGACTGTAGTCTTCATTCTAGAGGTCTTTCACTTCCTTGGTTAGGTTAATACCTAAGTATTTTATTTTTCTTGATGCTACGGTGAACGGTATTGTTTTCCTAATTTCTTTTTCAATGAGTTCATTATTGGTGTACAGGAATGCTATTAATTTCTGTGTGTTGATTTTCTACCCTGAAACACTACTAAATTTTGTTATTAATTCTAGGAGGTCCTTGGTGGAATTTTTTGGGTCTTCAATGTAGAGAATCATGTCACTTGCAAATAGTGATAATTTGACTTCTTCCTTTTATATATATTTTTTTTTTCTTTCTCTTGCCTGATTGCCCTAGTTAATGTTTTAATTACTATATTGAATGGAGAGGTGATAGTTGAACATCCACATCTTATTCCTGATTTGGAAGAATAGCTTTCATATTTTTCCCCATTTAATATGATGTTGGCAGTAGGTTTGTCATAAATGGCTTTTATCAGATTGACATAAGGTTCCTCTATAATTGTTTTCTTTAGGGTTTACGTCATAATGAATG